ACAGCTGGCATGTTGTGCTGGGGAAGAATGTCCTACTTGTATACTAGAAGACGTTTTGGATTTTATGCAGCAAACAAAATGAATCTGTTTACTTATACTGCTTACGTTACATGTACATAGCATGAATATTGTTTATTTGAGTCAAATAACCAGTAAACCGTCTTTAAACGTAACCCACCAGTTTTGTACAGTAAATACAAGCTACGTAATTTGTAATGTCTGATCCACGCACACTGGGCCATGATGGACCCCTACTCTTTCCGATTAGTGTGGTGGGTTCTTTAACGTGCTCGAGGAGTGGCTCTCCTAAAATACTGAACCTGTAGCTTTACGACCCTTAAAAATTCCCAAGGACATCACTAACCGAAGCTTATTAAACTCTTATTATTAAGTCGAACGAGGAATACGTGTTAACTAAGAGCCTTTCCCAAGGACACAACATTGGGTAGAGTTTTCCAACTTAGATTCTAAGTCAACATAATTGAGAATTGAATACTCACTTTTAAAAAATCGACTCCTGTCTCCTAGAAGAGATGTCGCCCTCGGTGTAGACTGTATACGTAGAAGAATCACCGGTGAAGATGGACAGTAGGATCAAACCTTCAGCAGGTCGCAAAAGTTGTTCAACTGGTTTGACAAATCGTGTCGATGAGTCTGTCACTTTCGCCAGTCGCGTACGATCTCTAGGTTTACGACAGCAAGTTGGGGATAGTCTTAGGACGGTCGTGGGTGTGTCGTACAAAATTCCGCTGCGTGTCTTGAAACGGTTGTGGTAGAGTATACTTTGCCGACGGTCGCGGTTCTGTCGTAGCCTCGCCGAAAATTCTACCACAGAAAATCTCTGTATACTTCTTGACCACGCCTGGAGTGAATACCTAGTTTTTGTAGTAGAGGAATGCGGCAATACTACATATAGACGCCCCGGGCGAAGGACTCATGCCTATAGTTTGTGATTAACCCGTATTTAACGAACGCTTCCGGCTGGTTCGGTGGAATTCTGCGGGAGTATCAGGTTCTCCGGTGTATCTGCTGTCGTGGTGCTGAAGGAATCATGGGTCTTATAGTGAAACACGATATTCTCAGGCGACCCTACTGTGCGGACGTTCTAGGTGAGGTCGGCACGCCCTAAAGGCCTCAACGGACTGCGCCTGCACTACTTCGGCAGGTAACTTATTCCACTCACGTATTGAGCGGGGGAAAAATGAACAGGTACACATTGAGTGAGGTGTTGTATTGAACTATCGTAGAGTGGAACTTGTTACCACCAAGCACAGTTGGGGCATCATCACCAGAAAGATTTAAAGTGTAGCTATACCGATAGAGATACAGATACAAATGTTAGAAAGCTAGTATATGTATATTTGAATTGAGTATATATACAATTTACAAGTTTGGTGATAAGTGAACCGTTTGATGGTGTGTAGTGAAATATGTTTTACAGAGATTTAGTCTTGTACATGCGTAATTCACTATATACTGTTACAAGTCTGACGTATTCTATAACGTTACCTGGATTTCCCTCAATGGATTCAAGTAGCAAATTCACGCACCCATCTGTCAACAGTGAAGAGACAGGAAAGCAAGGATATTTAAAAAAAAACGTCGATCTTTTATTTCAACCAGACTGACAGTTAAAACATGATTGTATTGACGTGCATTTAACTAATTTCAGATACAAGTGACTAATTCAATGTCCTTCTTTGTTGGTACATTCACCATCGCAATATGTATGTATATAATTTGTACATTGACCCACCATCGCAATATGCCAAAGTGGGGTCTTGTGGCTTAACGGCAGAGTGCTCGACTCGGAACCAAGTGGTCCCGAGTTCGAGTCCTGACATTCCACCGATCTTGTGCCCTTGGGAAAGGCACTTTACACGACTTTCCTCACTTAACTCAAGTGAAAATGAGTATTGTCCTGTTCTGTATTGTTCTCTGCGATGGCGGCGACATAAAATAAGTTGATATAACTTGAGTGTACCGTCACATGTCTAGTCATGAAATGTTGGAATAAAAAAAATATGCCAAAGACTCCCATTCTTTACCCAGATTGTTACCCAACTTATTTAGTACAGTCAAATTTCCTCAGTTGATTTTCTCCTCTTACAACACTGCATCAGAACCACAGTAAGTATTTCAAAACTAATGACACTTGGAACTATTATGGCAAAATTTATATACCACCATTTATTACTGCACCAATAATCTGTGATGTGTACACGACTGATGTCAGGATTGTGCAGCAAGTTGTGACAGTGCACGCCTACCCATTTTGACTTGTTCAGTTTGACTTGTTCTTGCAGCCACTTGATGTTACAGGTGCAGTTACTTTCTGTACAGTTACATATATCATCATTCAGTTCAATGCCGCCACAGTCACAATTGAAAGGGTTACCGCTTAGACCCACATACTCAAGTCGTTTTAAATTTGTAATATTCCCGAATAATTTGGCGGAAATTTCTTTCAGGTTATTTCCTTTCAGTTCCACATGAGTGAGGCTCTGAAACACCTCCAGCGTCCCCTTTATATGACGGATTTTATTCGATGGCAAGTACAGTCCTTTCAGACGGGTCAAACTGCTCAGCTGCCCGAGGTCCAGTACAGACAGGTTGAAGTTGGTAAGTGTCAGATTAGAAGAAGTCCTAGGCAGTCCCCCAGGGATAACCGTGGAGCCGGAACCCTTACATACAGTAGTTGCCACTTCTTGCGTGCAGGTACAGTTCGTAGGGCACTGATCATAGCCGGAGAACGACTCACACTCAACAGCGACCCACAGGGCAAGGCAGCCAAGGGCCCTTAACAGTAATATTGCCATGGCTTCTAACGTCTCACGTTATCACCGATAGCTGTAGAGGGTAGATAAAACAAAGCACTCAATAAAAATCATTGCCAAGGCGACGACTGAATGATATTTTAGTCCCGAGGCATGCATTCGTGCAATTTTTTAAAATTCTTTCAAAGCGACCAAAGTACTTACACAAATGCCTCCGCCCCAAAGGCGTCGCCAAAATCTAGAGTTCATTTTGACTTCGAGTAGTACAGGGACTGAAAGGCAAATAAACTAGACAAAATAATGTCCACTGACAACATTCTCTCTGAGACCATCGGTATCCCCTATACCTGTTCTTATCAACATTTGTACATGCCTTATCCTGAAATAAAATCGTGACAATACAATGAACGAGGACGCGAGGATCATCCATATAAAGCAACAACAAATTCTTGTCAAGAAGTGTTACAAAAAACGTATGGGATACTGTGGGTTGACTTTTCGGAGTCCAGATATTCAACAATCAGCAAGCAAAGAAGCATATGACCTGTTCAGTAACCCCTTACCTTGGCCAGCTAGTCTTCTCTAAGCTTTGTAAAAGTTCAACTGCATGCGATGACCACAAGCGATGAAAAAGTGGGTGAGCGACGTCTTTAGCTATGCACGTACCCCCACTAGGTACAGGATTTAGAGTGGCTCTCCCCTTTGGTTGTTCCAGCAAGTTGTGGCTTGAAGATCAGTCATCGCATTGACTTTAATCTATTACCGATGAAGCTCAAGGTCTGAAGTTCAGTAATAACAACCATTGTCTTTAGGTGTCAATCTTTCATTCATATGCTTTGATGTGGCGGCTGCCACACCACATGCGAAATTACACAGAAATGCGACGTACGGAAGAATGCGTTTTGGCTGCGAACATCTTCCAAAAAACTTGGCATCTCTTAAGCATGGGCAAAAACATCTGGAACCACTTATCAAAACCACCCCGTATCTGCATGAAGTTCCACCCCCCCACTGCTATTCCAAACAACGCGTTTTTCTGGACCATTCCAATTCGCCTCGTAATTGTAGGGGTGCGTCTGCAATATTACATTGACCGCGAAAGCAGCAACGGCAAAAATACACATTCGTGCATCAACACGGGCATGCCCGCAGACGGCGTATAAAATTGCGTGCCGATTACACAAAGAGAACCCAGTGTTTTGACTGCGAACATGAAAAATCAGCCGATCACAACACTCCGTCCGGAGGTCCTGACCTCCTTCACGGAGTAACAATCCTTATGATGTGCGATGATAGTATTGTTACTGGCGAGCCCAGTGATTAGCTCAACCTAGCGGCAAATAAGAGAAGTACAGAAATGATATTTAGTCTGCTCGGAGAAGAATGCGGTTTAATTTTATGGAGAAACATGATACGTAATGTTGTAGTTTGTAACTAAGGAAAATGTTAAAAGAACCTAGGTTCTCCCTTGTAATCAGTACTCTCAATAAGGTATATTCTTCTTCAATATCCTTCAGTTTATAGCTCCATTTTTCCGTGTAATTGTGTGTTTTTTTTTGGTGTGTGTCCGTGCAGTAGAGTGACAGGTTTGGGCAAATGCTGTAAGCACAGACCGACAGGTGGTGAAAAAGCCAGCCAGCCAGCCAAGCACCCTTGGCTTCAGTTTATTTTTCATCTCACAGTGGCTTTGTTTACCATTGAGGGTGTTTAGAAAAAGTTTTATAGACCTCAGAAAAACGTATTTGTCTTAGCACTTTTAGGAAGGCAACATGTTGATACACACCTCACCACAAAGTACACATGCAAAACAACACAAACAAGGTAGTTTGCCAGCTTTTTATTACCCGTATTTTCCAATGCATCAGCTAAAATTTCAACAATGTTGCGGTGCAATAGAGGTCAATGAACCTGGCACTTTGGTAATGGCACTTTCAGTGGATCAAGTTGCACAATTTGTCACTCTTTCTTAGTTGACCTATAAGGTCATTCTGATATACACATTACAGGATGGTATTGTGTTGGCTTCCAATGAAGATTCTTTGACCTTCAAGTTCACCCTATTTCCTGTGTCTGACCTTTTGACCTGTCATATATTCTGCCTGTCAATCCTTGCTCAACCCATGTGCTGTCAACCTACCCTGTCAGGACAAAGATACACACAAACTCACAACTCGGCCACTCAAAACAATACTTCCATAGCTGGAAAAGAAACATGGGAATAAATAGCATACAAATGCGAGTTTTAATACAGCATTTGGCAAGTCTACATCAAACATTTTCTTCGTCATCTGACCACACATCCTGTACAGGAGTCAAATGTCCAAACTTGTCTTCGATGTTACAGCACACTGTAGTGCTATAAACTCCTCTTTCTTTGAATTCAAGTCTATTCAAGTTCTTTGTTGATTGTCTCGACTCTGAGAGTGTCCCTGTCATTTGTAGATCTTGTTCCTTTTCCAGGTTGGGCTGGTCTGGGAAGAGATCGTCACCTATGAAAGAAAAGTCAAAGTTATTTCTGCATGGACTAAACAAGTAAAGATGTACCAAATCGATGGCAAGGTGGTCTTGGGATAAGGGTAGTTGACTAAAATTAGTAAAAATCTAAAGGTTCCACGTTTGAATCTCTAGCAGGCACCAATATTGTGCCGCTGGGAAAACACAGCACGTCGGCAGAACGTACTGCGCCTGCGCAGAACCCTGTATTTTCACGATTTTCGATGGATTTTTGGTCAACGTTGCATCAGAATTTTGCCTGTTGCAAAGGATATCTTTTCCTACATAACATTTGGAAACTACAGACGGGATGTTAACCTTATATACGCGAATACGACCTTATATGAGACGTTCTGCCGAAGTGCTATGTACAATACATTACGGGTTTCGCGCAGGTGCAGTGTGTTCTGCCGACGTGCTACTTAACACCTATTTCCTCACTTAACTCAGGTAAACATGAGAACCTAGCTTTGGTTAGAATGCTGCTACATAATGTAGACAAACACCAGAAGGTGTCTGCTTCGGCACCAGTTTAACATGGTGACAGCTGTCTAGTCCAGGTCATGAAGGTAAAAATAAAAGAGATCCATACATGTACCTGTACCTTACCGCACTATGTAACACGAGTTTCTTACCAGGTAATACAGTCATGGCTCCATCACTGAGGTAGATCGTAACTGGCAGCCACCTCTCGCATCCCTCCAACCCTCTCTCCTGGCTGAAGCTGTGCAGCTGGTTCAGACCCGGCAGGTTCAGCATGCGTGAGAGCTCGTACACTTGTGGGGGCGGGATCCAGTGTTCCTCTCTGCGGAAGTCGCGTAGAATCTCGGGTGGACTCAACCACTGGTGAAAACAAAACAAAAAATCAGAGATTTCAGACAGACTTGCGGGGAGTAAGTATTTTATTGCCATCCTCGGCTTTGCCTGAGTTCCCCCATTAGCCTCTACCAGGCTTCGGGAGGTGGCTGGAAAGAGCAGAAATCAGCAAAATAGAAAGAAAGCATGCCAAAGGAGTTTGGTCAGCTGGAGAGAACATTTTGTTTTCCCCTCCTGAAGCCCGGGCAGGTTTCGAGTAATCTCCAAGCAGATCCAACAGATCTAGGCAAGACAGTATCCATTGGCCTCAGAAGTGTCTATTAGCCTGGGGACACTCCTCTGGCCAATGGATACTGTCTTGCCACCGTACAATCTGCTTGGAGATTAATTTTGTGACCTTTCACCTCCAGTTATATCAATCTTCCACTCACACAAGCTTTCAACCTACTACTAGATGTCTATGCAGACACAAAACATACAAACCCACAGTGCAGCCTCTCAAAGCAATACTTCCGTACAAAGAAGTCACGGAATGTTAATATACAAGTAGGCCACGCAATGTGATTGGTCTATTCCTAACCAATCACAGAGCATGTATATATTCTACATCATTTTCAAACCCACCTGTGCTTTCACCATCTCTCTTTTATCGTGCGTGGTCTGCGGCGGTATGTTGTCCAGGCAGCACATGTAGAAAACCGTGTCATATCGCCTGTTCCTGAAGCTTGTCGGCGTGAGCCAGTTGGACCACTCGTGCAGGGACCAAACGTCGGGGACTCGCTTGTGTTCCTGGCACAGTCGGAGGAACTCCCGACCGTTCGAGTCCACGCGAGTCCTCCACTCGTCCAGAAAATCGTCCGAAATCGCCGCATCTGCGCCTGGCACGTTCCACGGGCGGGTCAGGAGTATCCCGGACTCTTCAAATGTCTCGCGGATGGCGCAAATTCGGTATCCCACGTCGTTAGGGACCAGAGAAGCTTGATTAGCGGTCAGCATGGGTGATCTGTCGTCTACGTTTCTTATGTTTGTCAGGGAATCGAAATTCCCCAAGCCCGAGCGATCGAAGACGTCCATCCATTCGTCGGAGAAGTCTGAGTCGTCCACGAGTCCTCCCGGAAAGACTTTCGCGTTTGGCATAAAACCGCTTTTCCCGCTTCTTTGCAGCATGAGGACGCGGTAGTCAAAAATATTATATCGGCTGGGAACCAAGTCGTCTGCTACCACTCGGGTCACGGTGGCATTTTTTCTGGCCCCTGCGGTTAAAATTATCGTCGCTGCTTCCCGCCAATACTTTGAAAGAGGGCGGAAGGTCATCTTTATCTATAATTTATGGCTTAAAACGATCAAAAAAGCTCCTAAAACATGGAAAAACTACGACAAAACTTGCTGTTCTCTCAGAAAAGTGACCCACCTGATCAGCTGTACCGAAAGGTCAATTTGAACTGCATTGTGGGTAAACCGGACTGTCCGATTACTGGCGAAGGGGTGTTTCATAATTACAGGTTTGCGATAGCAAAACCTGTTCTATTTTACCTGGATTTTATGGGCGCAGCCATTTTGTTTCCCGTCATGCAATGGGGCAGGTCAAAGTTGAGTGAGGTGCATTGTGGGACCTGTCACAGGCCTACAGTGTAAGGACGACACCTAGCGGTATGTTTGGAAAGAGCAGTAACTGAAAGCCTACCTGGTTGTGTGTTCATTTTTGGCAGAAGTGTATAGAGGCGATGGCTTTGACGTAATAAAGGCGAGTCTGATTGTGTTTAGCACTTGACGTAATTTTCTTAGCATGACGGGAAGGAAACTTGGCGGACCTAATGCGGCGGAACTTTAAAGTTGTTTTTTTTTATGATGAGATGGTGAGGCTTTGGTATTAGTAGGGTGGTCTTGAGGATCTTGTCGAGGCCGAGCCTAGGGACGACAGATTGTCCTCAAGTACAGGGGTTAGTAGGTGGGATAAGTGGCATGAAGTTTTGGTATGAGTACACTTCCTGATTTCAAGTTCATTATGGAAATTGTAAGTTTTTTTTCAAGCTTACCAGTCCATTATACAGTGACTGTATAGGCGTTTGTAAACGTTTTTACGACCTGCCTTTCAGGCTGCTTGAACTTAACAATGCCGTCGCTTGCGACTCTCCATCTGTCTGAAATCCCCTGTCCTCCACCCAACCAAGGAACATAATTGAAGTATCTGATCAAAACGTTAATTATAGCTCACTTTCAACCTATCCTGATCTAATCTAATTGTCATATCCCATAGCTCTGGTCATATCCATTAAATGACACCTTTTCCTTCTGTGTGAGGACTTCTGTGTGGGGTGAACATTTTTCCACGACATACTATACACTTGTGGGATGACCCGAGGCTCCGGTGTGTCAACTCAACGGAAGCAAGCCTTGCCTACAGGTCAGCCAACTGCGCGACCCGATCTCCTACCTCTAATTTGCAGCTGTCAACTTCAATTGTAGGTTTTGCCCAGAGGGGCATGTCTGAGTCTACACATTAAGTTCTAGCTGTATAACCTCTACCAGACTTCAGGAGACAGCTCAGGAAAGGGGGCCTGCAAGGGGGGTCCCGACAACGATCTATGCTGAATTCGGAAACTTCTCGATTTTTTAATACGCTTTACGATAAATTCCAAGTGGCTATAACGCATTACGTAGTAATAAAACGGCGAATATGCTCTACAAAAAAGGGCTTGCGGGCCCCCCAGGAAAGAGTAGAAATTGACCAGATAAAAAGAAAACATGCCAGTGCAGGGGATCCGGAGTTGGTCCGCTAGAGGGTAAAGCGAGGCGAACCGTATATTCTCTGTTTGTGAACAGCATAACTCAAGAAGCTTAATATGCATTGCCATGAAACTTGGTAGGTGGGTAGGTCTTCATAAGAGCTAGGAATGATTAGATTTTGGGCCCCCTGGCGGCTTTCCTAGGTACTGCAGCAGAACTTCCAGTTTTGATATCTCGCGATCTGGACATGCTAGGGTCATGAATTTTGCTTGGTAGATAGCTCTTGGGGTAGGGAAGACGTGACATGAATTTTGCTTGGTAGATAGCTCTTGGGGTAGGGAAGACGTGACATGAATTTTGCTTGATAGGTAGCTCTTGGGGTAGGGAAGACGTGACATGAATTTCGGTAGGTAGGTAGCTCTTGGGGTAGGGAAGACGTGACATGAATTTCGGGAGTTCGGTGCGTGGGTCGGTGGGTCGGGAGTCCGGTACGTGGGTCGGGAGTCCGGTACGTGAGCACGCCCGCCCGGGCACTTGACTTGGGCACGCCCGCCCGGGCACTTGACTTGGGCACGCCCGCCCGGGCACTTGACTTGGGCACGCCCGCCCGGGCACTTGACTTGGGCACGCCCGCCCGGGCACTTGACTTGGGCACGCCCGCCCGGTACTTGGGTACGCTCGTTCGGTAGGTAGGTAGTTCGGTAGTTCGGTAGGTAGGTAGTTCGGTAGGTAGGTAGGTAGGTAGTTCGGTAGGTAGTGGTAGTGATTGGTTTTATTTCTCAAAGATTACAGTTTCGCAGTGCTTGGTGTAAACCCGCACTGAATTGCAATGCTAAAACAATGGGTTACAAATTATTAAAGAAATACATAAATTATTAAATACAATCTACAAATTAACAGATTAAAAGATAACCTCTGAGTAGACATTGTCAGAGGTTAAATACATAGGTTAAATACATATCGTGCATACAGATTTCAATAAGCCTATTATTAATACATTATTATTGATGACTTGTCATAAATGTGTATATTCAAACATATTAGTTCGGCATTGCATAGTGCTGGTTGAACTATTTTGGGGGACTAGAAATTTAATATTAGCAATCATTGAAACATTCGAGTCAGGGCCGTTGTAAAAAACATTATGAGAAAATAATCTCCAATTATTGATGAATTCTCGTATCATGCAATGGTTGAGACCATACGTCAAAATCTAATACGTTCAAGGTGATAATTCAGGTCAGGTAAAGATCTTTACATAAGAATTAAAATCTAATGAATTTCTTCTCCCAAACTTAACATATGTGCATTACAACATATTTGAATCGAAACTGCAAATACTGGTTGCATTATTGTTGAAGAGTGTTACAAGATAGGGTATGGGACTATTCCTGTAACGATTAGTTCGTGTTTTAAT